TCCCGCATTTGGGAAATAGACTTGCGAATGGCATCGCTAATGGCTGATCTGATCTGGCCCAGTAAAATAGCATATCAGCCTACTCAGCCGCAGGGTGTGTGCTTTATGTTGCAAGATGTAGGGTTACGTTTCTTGCGCGGGCATGCTGGAACGTCCACCTTTGTGAGTGTTCCTTTGGACTTGGTCAAACTAAAAGATGTCAGTATTTGCACAATTCTTGATATCTCCAAATGCAATCTTCCACAAAGATCATGAAAATTGCGGTATCGTCTCCAACACCAATATCAAAAAACACCAGTTCTGTGTTTGCCGCAAATCTGAAACTAGATTCGAACGGACAGAACTTGTCTTTAGCTCTTTCGTTGGTATGCCAGTTATTATTGAGATGCCAAGGGTCGACTTGCCACGTTGCCGAAATGTGGAGTGAAACCAATGCGGGGTTCACAAACACAACTGATAAGAACATACATGAATTATATGTATTATATATAAGAATCATAAGGATGCTACATCCGACTCTCTTTAACTCTACATACATGTGTAATAACTATGTGTGAATATAGATAATTACTATCACTATCATCATTCTTACCACTATCGTTGGAATTCATACTTTTCTATTATGTGTATATATACATACATATGTATGTATACATATGTACATACTTACAGAGTAGAGAGAGAGAGAGAGAGGAGAGAGAGAGAGAGAGAGTCCGTCCGAAACAGCCAATCAGCCAACATTCCATCAACCAAAGAATGCTCTCTGCGCCTGCATACTGGAAGCAGCACCTTGCAACGAGTCAGTCATGTGGCAGGATCGTCATCGTCATCGTCGTCATCATCATCATCATCAGCATCATCATCATCATCATCCTCCTCCTCCTCCTCGTCGTCGTCGTCGCCGTCGTCGCCGTCGTCGTCGTCGTCATCATCATCATCATCATGAAACATCCATAATCTGGTAAACCCAATGCCATAAACCATCCTCAAAATCACCATAAATGTGTGTAAAAAAAAGCAAAGCGCAAATAGTAGGTTGGCCTGCATGCAGGATCTCCCACTGCAGGGAGTGTACTAATTACTAAGTACTGCAAACCATGAAACCTCCAGTTTCCACCCCGCCTGGTGTCACAGATGTGACGCGAGGGGTGCTGCTTTGGCTGGCGGAAACTTCCGACGTCTTGGAAATGGCATCCACGACTCAGCAAAATTCGTCGGCTGAAGGATGTCATCCCCAGAAGGATGCGATTGGGATAGCTCCTCCTTGATGGGCACTGATGTAGTCTTGATACTTTGTTGAATCCAATGATTTTTGGAGTGTAAAAAAGGCCCCTGGCCTCTGGCAATTTGTTACAGTTTGCGAACTGGAAAATCACCATTTATATCCATTTATGTGTTAAGGGATAAATCATCGTGTCATCGAATTCAATGGGCCATGGTATACAGTATCTGCTTGCAAACTGTGAATTACCACAAGATAACCCCATGGAAATCTCCATGGAAATCCGAGCCACACGTGGGTTTCTTGATCAAGGCGGGCCGCGGGACTCCAACCTGCGGACCATATGAGTCATGGTCAAAACATGGTATATGCTTGGGATATATATATATATAATTATATACACTTGATTACTATATATATATATGTGTGTGTGTATGTATATTATCGTTATTATTGTTACTATTATTATTACTATTATTATATATACGTATATCAATTACTATATATATATGTGTGTGTGTGTGTTGATGTGGGATTTAAACCAACAACAATGGGAATATGATGGAAATAAACCATCAAAATGGCTATTGACTGGTGATTTAATGATGATTTAAACAACAAAAATGGTGATATCATGGGGTATCCTGGGATCTCGAAAACCAACAATATAGTATGTTGGAAATTGGTGATATAATTGTGCTATAATATGATAATGATATACGTATAGTATTAAATGTGCACTTAAAACGAATTGGGCCTGTTTCCGTTGTGCTCGGTATATATTAGGTGCTAGAGTCAAAACATGGTATAAGGTTTTTGGTCATCTATCCCATATACTGAGAATCCAACCACAATAGGTGATCAAAATCTATGAAAACGGATTGTCTATTCCCATCCCCCAATCTTGCTGTATAATATTTTAATCCATAAACCATGGCACATATGAGTTGTGATCATATGTGGGCCCAGGATTATATGGAGATTATATATATGGTGGTATAATTGATAACGTGGGATGATTTTGGGCGGTCTTTCCATACTGAGGATGACCAATGGATTGATCTAAGGGAGACCAAAAAAAACGGAAACGATGGTGAATTCACCCATAAAATGTCCTTGAATTCTGGGAGGGATACAGTACATCCTGCTGGATTAAGAAAAGATATCATGTTGTTCACTCTATTGAGGGACATACACACTTTGTTGCAGATCTGTTTACATAAGGGAAAGATCTGGCTGAATTACTGTGTGAATAATTCAGCCAATCCAAAATAAGGCGGTTTTGGTGTTGTTTCTATTACTAACTCACCATCAATGTGACGGCGTGACCTTGTGATGAGGTGAGGTCACTATTCTTCGTCCACATATTAATATTAAGATTCTGATACCCCATGTGCCATGTGCAATCGGGTTGTCAGTGTGGTCATGAATGCCTTGAGGCGCTAGAAAACAAGCCATGAACCTAATATTCAAAAAGGTTTTCCTCATGAAACTGCATGTCTAGGCGCTTAAATCCAGGTAAGTCCCTCCAGTTTTCCACATGTTTGTTCTGTTGGAAATCCTCCTTCACCTGCCATTCACCAAAAAGCGGTTCCCAGCAATCCTAACTTGATATTGTTTGGCTCAAAATACAGTGCCTCAGAAATCAAGCAGTCTTGAAACCTCATTTTCCCGATGTCAAAAAGACTATATCATACAAGATTTAATATATAATCAACAAAAACAGTAAAACATCATTTCAAAAAAAAACGGGTATCCGAAAGCCAATACCCAACCATTTTTGGCCATACCTCGGTCAAACTCGCGGGGCTCTCTGTCACGTCCATTCGATCTCCATCGGGCACCATCTCCTCTCGGGCCTCGGATCGAAAATCACCGGGTTTTTTTGGACCAGAGGGATCCAGAGGGATCCAGAGGTATCAATAAATCGACCATTTATGGACTATAGTCCATAGCTATGTTAAATTGGTCATGGACAGCATCAGAAAAATGTTCATGACATTCATATCGTACCTTAGAGCAACCCCAAAATAAGATCAAGCAGAAGTCCGGAAAAACAATTTTCAAACTTACACCATCTTACACCATCTTACACCACGATTTTTTAGACTCTGAGTTTGCTTAAATCCTCCCTTTTTGGAGCATGGTGCCCCCCGAAATTTCCATGGCAGACCTGCATCTCGTGCATCTCCTCGGGACTGGCATCACCTGCCATGAAAAAAAATGCAGATATTGCGGGCTGGTTTTATCTTTTTGTGCGTTGTTACCGCATTAGATTGCGAACATTTTGGGGGTGTAATCTTTGTATACCCACGGAGTTTATCACCTCGACAGGACCTAGCTTGATGGATTGAAAATCATAGGTAGGTACTTTAAAGCGATCACAAACGAATTCTTTCAATGCTGCATGATTTCCAAGTGGCAGTGCCCGTGACGCCTCACAGCTGGGGATGCTGCAGTTCTTTTACCACGCGGGACAAGAGCTGTAGGTGAGACTTTGCACACCTCTGGAAGGCTCTAAATGTTCTTTAGCGAAATGCCAACGCCACTTTCGCCGAGAACCTGAAGTCTACCTGCATCTTGAAGCTTCTGCATTTGGGGCCGAAAGACGTTGAAAGCATCACTGCTCCTGTGCTTACCGTAGACATCTTTGTCGGTGTATCTCTCATCCACGATCAACAGGAGCGGGTCTTTATCACTTTGGATAGCTTCGAAAAGCAAGCAAAAGGGCTCATAGTCACGCACATAGCGTGCCAAGACTCCCCAGGATTTCAGAAACTCATCACGTGTCGCAACATCTTTGAAGCGAAGCTGGATTGTCAGGCTCCATGCACCCTCATAGCCTGGACGCACCCAGAAGACTTTTACAGTACAACATGCCTTGCTTTCAAAAAAATGTTTCTTCAATCCGATCACCCATCATCCTAATCTCCCAAATGCCTCCAAATCATTCACCTTTTATAGTTTGAACCAACGCTAAGAGGCTAAGAAAAGGATGGGGAAAACAACCGAAAAGAAAGAACTCATGTGCCACCTTTTTCTTTCTTCAGCTCTTTCCCAAGCTTTCCAGTTGCCAGTCCATCAACAACCAGCAACGATGCAAGGAGGATCAAACACCTCAGGCCCTTCGCCATGGGCGTGAATAGAGACGTAGGACGTGGGGAAGGCGTGAGTACTTGGATCTTAAGGCTGCGAGCGTTGGAATCCATGTGTCCAAGGGTGCCTGGTGGTTCCTTGATCAACTTCCATTGCTTCTTAAAAATCGCAAGCTTACCACAGGCCTCCACTTGGGTTTGAACTTTGGAGTATGCTGGGAACAAAAAAATCGCGGATTATCGCAGTATCGCATCATTTGTCCCTTCTCTCGAGTAATTTGAGTCAGAGGGCTCTGTTGTTCCAAGTGATGTGGGATTGCGGGGTATGTGAAATCACCACGGCAGGGGGGGTGCTGAAGTTCTTTTTCCAGATCACCGGACAAGTGTTGGCGAAATCCAGGTTTTTAGCACCACACGTGCAGGTGCAGGTGAGACTTTGCACACCTCTGGAAGGCTCTAAATGTTCTAAATGGATCTAAATGGAAGAAAGCGAAATGCCAACGCCACTTTCGCCGAGAACCTGAAGTCTACCTGCATCTTGAAGCTTCTGCATTTGGGGCCGAAAGACGTTGAAAGCATCACTGCTTCTGTGCTTACCGTAGACATCTTTGTCGGTGTATCTCTCATCCACGATCAACAGGAGCGGGTCTTTATCACTTTGGATAGCTTCGAAAAGCAAGCAAAAGGGCTCATAGTCACGCACATAGCGTGCCAAGACTCCCCAGAATTTCAGAAACTCATCACGTGTAGCAACATCTTTGAAGCGAAGCTGGATTGTCAGGCTCCATGCACCCTCATAGCCTGATTGCTCTCATGAGAGTACTGCACCTCTGGTTCCAATCTCTTCCTTTTGAGTAGCACTACTGTGACACGAAAATTTGTGGTTCATGAACCCAAATACCTCCACATACCTCCAACCTGATTCCCAACCAAGTCCGATTGGTTTTACACCCAAAAAAACTCCTAAGAAAAAAATTACTTTACTTCGTGTGATACCCACCATGACATTTATACATTTTGTTACTGGCAAATCTTCTGGCATTCTATCTGACATATTTTCTGGCATTCTATCTGGCATATCTTCTGGCATTCTACCTGGCATATCTTCTGGCAGATGTTCTGGCATATCTTCTGGCAGATGTTCTGGCATATCTTCTGGCATATCTTCTGGCATATGTTCTGGCATATCTTCTGGCATTCCATCTGGCATTCTATCTGGCATATCTTCTGGCATATTATCTGGCAAATCTTCTGGCATTCCATCTGGCATTCTATCTAGCATATCTTCTGGCATATTATCTGGCAAATCTGCTGGCATTCTATCTGGCAAACATTCTGGCACTTTATCTGGCATATCTTCTGGCATTCTAGCTGACATTCTATCTGGCATTCTATCTGGCATACCTTCTGGCATTCTATCTGGCATATCTTCTAACATTCTATCTGGCATATCTTCTGGCACTCTATGTGGCATATCTTTTGGCGTGGATACTCGCGGTTGAGGTCCGGCAGGGAACACTGGGCGTGGATGGTCGTGGTTGAGGTCCGGCAGGGAACACTGGGCATGGATCCTCGCGGTTGAGGTCCGGCAGGGAACACTGGGCGTGGCTGGTCGTGGTTGAGGTCCGGCAGGGAACACTGGGCGTGGCTGGTCGTGGTTGAGGTCCGGCAGGGAACACTGGGCGTGGATGGTCGTGGTTGAGGTCCGGCAGAGAACACTGTGGATCGCGGGTCGCAGTTGGACGAGGACGACGAGGACGACGAGGACGACGAGGACGACAAGGATGACGAGGAGGACGAGGAGGACGAGGAGGAGAGGAGGAGGAGGAGGAGGACGAGGCAGGAGGCAGGAGGAGGCAACTGACATAAAATCTAACAACCCTCACCTGGCAGGTGGGGAAAAAGACTGACAGAGCTGGGCCACCTTTCTGCTTGACCGATCCAAGTGATCCTGTGATCAGCAGAAGGGACGCCATCAGACTGGCGCCCAGGCCCAAATACATCAACTCGCGCTTCGCCATGGGACCGGAGCACCCTTTGATCCACAGCTGCAGTGGGTGACACCGGTGACCAGGTTTGGGACACCAGGGTGCACCATTAGTCCAGGTTCGACAAGGCTTCAGTGGCCAAATGCCCATGCAAGGCACAATCTAGCTGCACGGATGCCAAACTCCGAAACTGGGAGTTCCGGGGAAATGCCCATTCAGAAGCCAAAAAAAATTGTCTCCCACCTTAGATACGAGAATCATCAAGAATCCAAGATGATGACCATATTTTATATATTTCTATATCATGTCAATCTCCAGTTGCCTCCACTTCCCAACATTTCCGGCCTCCAAGCTCCGATTCTGCATCCAAAAAGGGGTTGCTGCCTCTACCGGGCAGTGTTCAAACCCAAAATGATCATCCCTGCTTGGTTCAAAACGGCATTCCCATCATGGATGATGGTCACCATAATTTCCTAAAATATCCGAATATTCCAAAAAAATACCAACCAACAGTGGTTCTGGACACTGCTCCGGTGCTGTTCAAAAAAGGCACCTCACGCAGATCTTTTGTTCATCTCCGCGGACTAGATCCATTTCTTGAGGCTTCTATGATGCATTTGCAAGGGGTAGCCATGGTGGCATATCAATGATCAGGCGGCCAGATGCAACCGGATGCAACTAGAACCTACATACTCCGAGAGGGTGGATATATATATATATATATTTATATATATATATATTTATATATATATAATATCGATGAACACAAAGTTCCTGCGAAGCTGGGTGCAAAACCTTGCAACTATAGCAATCAAGATGTTATCTATATATTTCAACTCACTGTCCATGCCGACCTTGGAAAACAAAGACATCACAATCCATCAACTTCCATTCTCCAAACACAGAACACCATCCCTTAACTGTTTCCCCGCCTCCAACCTCCAAAGCTTTCACCGAGCCGGAACTAAACGGGTTGAGCTTCTCCACAGACCCACGATCGCCGGCACCGGCACCAGCATCGGCGCCATCTGCGGCATCTGCGCTGCTGTCACTGAAGGGATTGCTGCCTTCGCTGCCCTCAAAGGGGTTCAGCCCCTCAAAGGGATTCCTCGACGCCGTCGCGCCGGGGCTGTGCACCTCAAGCCACCAGGGAAAGGTTGGTGGAAACCCCCAGGGATGATTGAAGGTTTATATAAAAGTTTTTTAAAAAAATGATCTGTTGATAGGCCATACCTACATCCAGTTCTCACAGAACCGCTTAAGAATCTCTGGGATTCAGCTCTGGACGTCAGCAACTTCTCGCAGTCTGTCCTGGCCCAGTCCTGGCCGACTTTGGCATCATCTCGCTGGTTTCATCCATGGATTGATTTAAGAGAGACAATCTAATGTGGTTAAAACAATAATGAACTACCCATTTGGGAATGGTTTATAGCACCTATAAAAATGGTGATGACTGGGGGATGGTTTGTGACATTCTTTTAACCACAGGAAAACCATGGTTGTTACCATCATTTTTGGGGAACCAATCCCATCGTCCACGGGGATTTTCCATGGAACATGTAGATTGATGTAGATTGGGAAGCCCCTACAGGCACGTACCAGGCCCAGAAAGTTTGTGTTGTGCATCAGACCGTCCACTTGCAAGGAACCGATCGTTTTGAGCCTTAGCCGTACAACCACCCGGAAAAAATTGGAAATTTCCACGCCATTCTGCGATTCATGGAGCCCTGGAAATCTGACGACTCCCAGCATGAACTCTCCTGGACTTCCAAAGGATGGGGAAAGAGCTGCACCTCATCGAGGCCACGCTTGGATGTTGATCATTGCCAAACTGCTATCCTCACTATCCAGCTGCTGGGATAAACCCATCCCCAAAAAAACATGAAAACATGAAAACGGATCGTCCCAGGTAGGATTCCTGAGACTTCAGAAACTCAAACCTGCCACCATGGCATTGACCCCTGATCAAAAGTGATCAGCAAATCATGGTCGCTGCTGAAGGCCCCAACTGCTGCCATCCGGTACCTCCAAACTCCTTGCCAGAACAGCGTGCCGCAACAGCCCCCATGACATGGATGTTGGATTTAAGCCTCTCACAACTCTCGAGGGTCAGAAATGTGGAACATTAGAGTTTTCATCATCAGGCCATTTCACCCCCTTCAACGGAGAACAAGGTGTTTAAAAACATGTTCAATAGGGGAATCACCTTTGTGGTGGGGATTTTGCATGGCACCCAAACCTGCCACCACTTTATCTAGACACACCCGAACTGCCAAACTGCCTGCCACCACTTTCCAGATGTATTGGAGTCAGGATGTGGGCCAGGTCGAATCACCCAGGGGAAATCAGGGCCGATCTGCCAGTTCTCCCGGGGCTTATGGGTTGAAAGCATCCAGCTATGGCGCCCAGCATGGTCAGCCCAGGTTGGCAACACCAAATGCCTGTCTTTCAAACTTTGGAACCCCAATATGTTGCTTGTTTATCATTGTTTGTCTCAGCACTTTGCTGTATTTTTGCCATGCAATTTGTCATGTTATCATATTTCACCTGGATAAATATATATATATATAGTATTCACTAAACTGAACTTTGAACATTTTGGGATAGTTAGCCCAATCCCAACCATCGATTCAGCTCAGCTTCGATGTCAAAGAGAGCGTGGGCACAGCTTTCGAGAGCTTCGAGCGCCCATCGCCTCGCGACGCACTGATTTCGTTCTCAAAACTTGGATTTGACCCACAGAGATCGGGATTTGGTCCACAAGTGCAAGGATTTGGCCATAACATGCCATAACAATCAGATTTACTCTTGGGTAAACGAAGCCCGGCATTGGAATTCCCCATGTTAAAAAAGAGTTAGATCATCAAGGGGATGGGAGTCCCAGCTCCTGATGATAATCTCCAATAAGGGTAGCTTCAAATAACCCCGTAACTCATCATCAATCAACCATCATTTATCAGCTATATCCTCCTATATCCACCGATATCCACCTACATCCCAAAGTTTTCATGGAATCCCTATTAAATAACCAATTGTAATAATCCAAAGGTCACAAGTTTCACACTTGCAACCCCAAGCAGCACCTGCCGGGGGAGTAGTGGGTCTGGAAGACACCTCGAAAAAAACAGTTTCTGATTTTCAGACCCTCTTCGGGTATCAAATCACATATGATGCATGTGTAAGAAAAACAACAGCTCTGCATATATGTACATGTGGAATATGTCCCGTTGTTGTTTCAAACTATAAAAGAAAAAAATGTTATTGGTTATTGGCTATCAACGTCCAATTTGTTGGGATGGAAATGCACGCCCACACACTCACTTGAACAGAAACGAAGTCCTAGTGCGATATATTGCTTGCAATTTCATGGAATTACAGCGAGATGTTTGTGGAATATGATGGTCATGGTACGGTATCACTTGATCAGATTTCAATAGAATAGAAAGGATCATCCGTCCATGTCTCGAACTCCAAATAAAACGGCAATCTTGATGAAGGCTTGGCATACCCAAACTGAGTGCCACAACAGAAGGAATAAAAGATTCTTCAGTAATCGAAAGGTCGTCCACAGACGTAGTCCACAGATATAGTGAGTACCCAAATCCACAACCTTTGTGCTGCATGAGCATGTTCAGAATGCGACAATCGTGAAAAATACCATAGGACATCAGAGGACAGTATGACCTGAAAATCCATGTAAATAGATCCGCAAGGTCTCAGGTTGGCCAGGTCCCACTGTGGAAAAGCAGGTACGTTTTCACGACTGAGTAGGGGAGTCTTCGTTGGCCCGTGCCATCTGTGCGACGGACCCCCTGCATGTTTGAAAAAGGAATAGAGGTCTTACATTTCTTCAATTGGTACATACGTGTATGTGTGTGTGTATAGATATATATATATATATATAACATATATAGGTCCCATTTGTACATACACATATGCTTAAAACCGCCAACCAGGTGAAGGGCCCTCACGGTCAAACATCTATAATTGTTGTTCGATATACGTGTATGTATTTATATATTTATATACATGTGTATGCATGTATATATATATATACATATGTATATATATACATATATATATATACAAATATATATATATACATATATATATATGTATACATATAAATATGTATGTATATATATACATACATACATACATACATACATACATACATACATACATACATACATACATATATATATACATTTATAGTATACATATATATATAATTATATATATATATCCATACATATATATATACATACATTTACATGTATATACATGCATTTATACATACATACATACATACATACATTACAATAAATAAATTTCATTACATTACATTACATACATACATTACATACATACATACATATATATATATATATACATAAATAAATCAATAAATAAAGAAACAAAAAAAAAGAAATAAATAAATAAATACATACATACATACATACATAACATACATACCATTACATAACATTACATAACATTACATACCATTACATAACATTACATAACATTACATAACATTACATAACATTACATAACATTGCATTACATTACACTACCTTACATTACCTTACATACATTACATACATTACATACATTGCATTCATTACACGCATCACATGCATTACACACATCACATGCATCACATGCATCACATGCATCACATGCATCACATGCATCGCATGCATCACATGCATCGCATCCATCACATACATTACATACATACATTACATACATTACATACATTCCATACATTGCATACATTGCATACACTGCATACATTACATACATTACATACATATGTATATATATATATATATACATGTCTATATATTTAGATATTTATATTCAGATACATATATTTTGGCGACCCCACCGAGGGTGATCTTGGCGATAAGGCGCGCGGCTCTTCCACCTCGGAATGCCCAGTTAGATTTGGCAACTTAAAGGCCTTAGATACGGAATGTCATCTATATATGTGTATATATATATACTGTATTCTTTAATTATATATATACAGTCTTTGTATATAGTATAGCCTAGTGTACATAATACATAGATGTACTCGATAATAAAATAGACATCCGAATATCGGTTTCTTGAATGGACACCCGAATCTCTGCGTTTGGAATGACACCTGTTTGACATGGCAAAGATGCTAAGCAACACCTAGATGAAGGAAGAAATTGCGCTGGTGATTTGAAACTGACCCCCCCAAAAAATGGATGGTGTTCAAATAAAAAACGTGTTTCACTGGCACCTCATGTTCGCTGGATGTCATTGTTTCAATGTTTGGCATGTCGGTCTTAGCGGTGACAAGCTTCACCCCCATCAACCATCAACCGGAATGAGAACCTCACCGCCTGTGCGGGGCTCAATGATGATGACCTCAGAGCAAGGCGCGACTCGAGTCAACCGAAAACTGGAGGGTTCAATGGGCTGTAAGATGTGGGAAAATCTCAATTTATGCTGTATATATCGTATATATCCAACGAGATATGGATTGTAATGGGCTGCTCATCAACCAATTCTTGATATTTCATCGGAACTTTCTCTGGTGCTTGAGCCATCTCAACAAAAGATGGACATCCGGGATCATCCGAATTGGGTTGAAAGTAGGGAACCCAAAGAATTGGATAGTTGATATGTGATTATGGTCATAAACTGGTGGCAAATCTCCCATGTTCGACATGTTCGACCCCGAATACTAAAAGAAATTGGGGGATCCGCTGGAATCCCCATGTTTGGTAAACAAATCTCTAGGCTCCCCAACAGCTCGAAAGCTTCCACTGCCTGCGATGCTGCCGGAGAAAGGACATATGTTGCGGAGAAAAACTTTGGAAAAAAAACAACGACATCAGACATCAGAGCTATGTGTCACAGTTTCTTCCCACCGTTCAAAAGCACCTGTTTTTCCCCGTGTTTGTCGAATCTCTGCACTAAGGCATCCACAGCCGCTGTTTCCGAAGAGCTGCTGGGGGATGATCCGTACTGCCTTGGTGACTTTGTTCCCCAAAAGGACAACATGTTCCGCCACTGGACGTGAAAATGTGGAATGGTCTACCCCAAGTTGTTTGGCAATTGTCACAATTCTCATAGGGAAACGCATGAGAAACTGAGAAACGGATGGATTTGGAGATAATCTATGTTCAAAATAAACAAAATAAACCCACTTGGGATCATCGTCAAATTTCGAAGTCCAAGATCAACACAGGAGCCGTCAACAACCGCAGTCCTGCCCCAAAAACGCCCCAGGCATCGTAGATGGAAATGGATTGTGTCCGAAAATAGGCAAAAAAAAAACAAAACCAAATTGATCGAAATTGCCCATGTTCCAAAAAATTAGTTATTCACATTTTATCAAAAGTCTACCTCAAAGGTGCCATCCCATTCCCAGCCATTTTCAAAGGACCAAACCCAAAAGCTTCAGCCGCATTCGTCGCTGTCTTTGCCACATCTTCCAGCCATTGGGCCCTGCCCTCAAGGGCTCTGGTGGCATGCTTCAAGCGCTTTGCCTGGGAGGATCAGTTCCGAAAATTGGGGGCATCGGTCGATACCAATTACAAAGTACCTAGTACAAAGATGTGTAAAGCCACAATAAAGGAGGATTGTGCCCCCCCCTTGGGTCTTTTGGGGGAACATCTGGGATTTGAGCAACCAACAATCAGGTGTTGACCTGGAGGTTTACGAGATTGGGAGCTAGGTCATGCCAGTGGTGGGACCATCGGCTGACTGGACATGCATAAGTACCAGCGTTCTTTCGGTCTGAATCATTCGAAGATGCATTGACCAATATCAAACCACCGGGAAAAGAAAAGATGGTGTCCACTTTGTTCATCGCAAAACTCTGAGTTCATCGAGTGAAGTGAGGGGTGAACTGTCAACCCAGCGACTTGCTGCCGCCTGGCTACTTGCAGGGCAGGAATGGCAGGAAACGAAGTTGGTGAATGCAACCCCACATCAATTTGGAATGTGTATCCCATCTATGACTGGCTTATAGCCATTCCAGTCGTTAAGTGCTATGTTAGGCCATGCAGTCTACAACTGGGGATATTCCAACCACACCCAATACCATCTATATCTAGCTGGTCTATCACTCACAATATATATAGAGCCATATTTTATATATACATAGGATTTGCCTTGTACAAGTGGAAACCAAGATGGCTATCTGGATATCACCACAGTTAGGTCAGTAAGGCTTCAGTCAAAATAGCTATTCCATCCATATGTAATTGGCGTGTAAGTTATACAACTAAATCTATAATTTGTGTGTGTGCATGTGTATGTATGTATGTATGTATGTATGTATGTATGTATGTATGTATGTATGTATGTACGTAGGTAGGTAGGTAAGTAGGTAGGTAGGTAGGTAGGTAGGTATGCATGTAAGTAAGTATGTAAGTATGTAAGTATGTAAGTATGTAAATATGTAAATATGTAAGTATGAAAGTGTGTAAGTGTGTAAGTGTGTAAGCATGTAAGTATGTAGGTAAGTAAGTAAGTATGAAAGTAAGTAAGAATGCAAGTATGTATGTATGTACGTATGTATTTATGTATGTATGTATGTATGTATGTATGCATATATATGTATGTATGTATGTATGTGTGTTTGTATATGTGTTTGTATATGTGTATGTATATGTGTATGGATATGTGTATGGATATGTGTATGTATATGTGTATGTATATGTGTATGTATATGTGTATGTATATGTGTATGTGTATGTGTCTGTGTATGTATATGTGTATGTAGATGTGCATGTATATGTGTACGTATATGTGTATGTATGTATATGTGTATGTATGTATATGTGTGTGTATGTATATGTGTATGTGTATGTGTATGTAGATGTGCACGTATATGTGTACGTATATGTGTATGTATGTATATGTGTATGTATGTATATGTGTGTGTATGTATATGTGTATGTGTATGTATGTGTGTATGTGTGTATGTGTGTATGTATGTATGTATCTATGTATGTATCTATGGTTGTATCTATGTATCTATGTATCTATGTATGTTTCTATGTATCTATGTATCTATGTATGTATCTATGTATGTATCTATGTATCTATGTATCTATGTATCTATGTATCTATGTATCTATGTATCTATGTATCTATGTATCTATGTATGTATGTATCTATGTATGTATGTATGTATGTATGTATGTATTCATTTTACAATAACTGGGATATTCCATATACAACAAATTGCATCTAGCTGGTCTATCTGTTTGAATAGGTAGCCTTCTATGGGAAATCACCAGTTCCGAGCCCCCGGCCACGCCAGCACCCATCTGCGCCATTCGCGCCAAATCCTCGTTGACAGGCTCCAGTCGTTTCCTTGGCAGTGGATATGATGGATGTGTGAGAATATGTTTAAAACATGTCCTAGAATATTCTACAATAACATCAAACTTCATTTTTTACTTGTATCATGATTATTAATGGTATTACTATTATTGTTGTTTTTACTGCTGTCAATATTGTTATTGTTAAATTACTATACTTACTGCCATTATTATAATAATTATTATTGTCACAATTGTTATTCTTTCAGGGGACTGCTCACACAGCCATGCTTCGCTGCCAACCAAACTCAGTCCGAGCTACTATGTCAGGGAAAGCAAACAGTATTTCTATCTATATATATTTCTATGGATATGTTGCAATTTGGTTGGTTTCCTTGAAATTCATCCTGAACACGGGACGTGTCTAAGATCTCTGCAGTTCAGCCGCCAGCTCATCATCGGAGAGTCCAACAGGGCCTGAGATTCTCAGGGGCCACAGGTGAGTCACTCAGCCTGTAAAACATCGTCATTTCCGGGCTATATCCACCATTGTTTGATCATCTTTGCATCATGATATTCCATTCACCATCATTCTTCCGGCGTTCTTTGCACATGAAAAAAAAAACGTGTTGATTCCCATGTCTTGGGGTTAAGAATGCTCCCCCGCATTGAAAAGGGGATCAACAGTTTTTATGGTGTGGACATCATGTTTAACCCCATTGCTTGATGCCTGGTCTGGGCCCGTCCACTTTAATCCCCAGTTCCCTAGACCAGTTAGGAACACCAACCTCTTCCAACCGTAGGTCAACTGTGTCCCACCTGCGGAATCTTCATCGCACTCCTCACACAAGTGCCGCCTCATTTTTACGTGGCCACGTCCCATACCCATACCATCCACTCTGACAGTATATTTACCACATGTGACAAATCCCAACAAATTCACCATTTCAGCGGATGGTTGTATAAAACCCACCCATTTCATCAAGTCTGATTGGGAACGGGAATGTTCACAAAAATGGTTTGGGATGCAAATCACATTACCTTTATCACAAGTTATATTTGGATAAATGCAGATATATAGCAACCCCCAGAAGAAAAAAGTCAGTTGCCACCATTCTAGTAGAAAGTACTTTCCTATCTTTCTGGGAGTTGCACCAGCAAATGGATGATAAAACATCAAAATCTGAGAAGGAAACAGCAAGAAATCAGGAGGCAATCGACGCAGCAGCACCTCAGTTTCCACGCACGAATTTGAGAATTGTCACTGGTAAATTCTGGATTATGGATCATCTTGGATAATGGGGTTAAATGATTATAGTAAATTGCACGCATCCGAGGTCAAGTTGATCATGTTCAGTGCTAAATCATCCATGAGGCTTTGCCTGAAAATTCGCTGCTACCAATTTAAGAGATAGTCTCTTCCATCTTGTTCCATGATCACCTCCATGATTTTCGATCTTTCAACATGTGATTTCTGTTTCCATCTAAGTAATGGAAGTTTCATGTCATGTTTCATCATCCTAGGTCATCAACTCCATCATCAACTCCATCATGTTCCCGTGGTTCAACAGCGATCCACTGCTCCCACGGCTCGCGAATCTTCGCCTGCGTTTCCTTCTCCATGTCCTCCAGCTGCAACAGAGGATCAGTCTGGACCTGACACAAAGGATGCTTCACCATCTAAAACACGGAGGTCATTTGGGCTCCAGGATATCATGTATATATTATCATGTATAATTAACATTATTATTACTATTACTATTATTATTACTATTACTATTAGTATTAGTATTAGTATTAGTATTATTTTTACTATTACTATTAGTATTACTATTACTATTACTATTACTATTACTATTAGTATTAGTATTAGTATTACTATTACTATTAGTATTAGTATTAGTATTACTACTACTATTAGTATTATTAGTATTAGTATTAGTATTATTACTATTACTATTACTATTACTATTACTATTAGCATTACTATTAGCATTACTATTAGCATTAGTATTAGTATTTCTATTATTATTGCTATTACTATTACTATTACTACTAGTATAACTATTACTATTACTATTATTACTATGTATAATAGCATATAATACAACAATATATATATCATAATATATAACCGTATAATATATAACATTCTATATATATACATATATATATACATGAATGGTGATGAATAATAGTGGGATGTTTTGGATGTTTTGGGCTATATAATCTATTTTCAATAGAAACTCAGATAATTGGTATGGTTGGCTGACAACATTGCACAGGATCTCGGCATTTTACCATCTAACTCCGGAGTTCCACCTGCAGCTTTCGGCCGATTTTGGGGCGGCGATTCACTGCGAAGTTCTGTTGAGCGAAACTGCCGGCAGCTGAAAGTAACGGGACTCTCAAATTTCGAAAGTCACGACTGAGCCGATCGCTACAAATCAATCTGTTTCAAAAGGCACTCTAATGGCACTTTTTTAATTTCCGCGGAAACTGGGCGGACGCTTGGCAAAAAAAGCCTGCACCCCTTCTTCCATGTCATTGGAAGACCAGGTTTGCTTTCGCTTCTCGTGGAGCTCTTCGAAGACCTCTGGGGTCAAGGATGGGGCTGGGCTCATGCAGAGCAACTGCCTCTTCAGCAGATGGACCACCAGTGGTGCTCTGGACGCGATGATGTGGGCCATCTCTTGAGTCCTGACCCATGAAACCCACGGGGACCATAAGATGGGACTGTTTCATATGGATGGGATTACTGATGAGACATGATGTTTCTTCAAACCTCACCTGGTCAAGATTCTACGGGATCAACAGCTGAAAACCCAATCGGTGACATCCTGCCCGGTCCTCTGCTCCAACTTCTCCACCGGCACCACATCGTTCAGGAAACCGATCTGTAACGCTTGATCCGCTGAGATCGGCTCACCGGAAAAGAACATCCACTTCACGATGTGCAGCGGCATCACCTGTGCGAGTTCCATAGCCTCATGGGGAATGTATGGGATACCAACATGAAGATTTCAAATATAAATGTCCCGTAGGCCCTACACTTGGATATGCCAAAAATGGGAATACGGCTTATTTAGTCATCTATTCAATCATGTTTTTCTTTCATGGGATTGCCAGTTTATGGATCATGATGATCCCATGTATGTCAGGTAGTAGTATAACCCCTGAATAAATTGTCAACCACCCATCACGTTTATCAATTATATCCCCAAGGGTCTGCGGCATAGTCTTTAACATCAACACTATGTATCCCCCAAAACTCACGCCCACTTACCGTTTAATAGAAAAAGAACAACACCAACCCACCAAACGCCTCAAACTGCCAAATATGTACATATACACATACATATACAAATACATCTACATGCATCATATATATATAATTATGAACAACTATATGAAATCCTACAAAAACATAAACCTCTCAACATCCCCCAAGAACCGCCATTTGTTCGCCTGTATAAAATGCGACATGCCCGAGTGGTTGTAGGGCAGCCCGATCTTCGCTGGGGTGATGGCGAAGGTGGTCTGCGGCGTGGCGATCAACACATCGCAGCAGGCACAGATGTCTGTGGCGCCGCCCCAGACGGTGCCCTCGATGGAGCCAAGCACGGGGACCGGCAGGTTGCGGATGCGATCCAGGAGCTTTACAAAGGAATCCTCACCTGGGATATAAGTTATGATAGTTATGATATAAGGATATATAAGGATATATAAGGATATATATGTATATTATTATATATAAGGATATGCACAATGTTTTTTTTCGATGTAGTTTGTTGGGGGAGATATGTGCAATCATATGTAGTTTTTGACGTGGATGGATTATGAGGATTGTAATGTGGGACATCTCCAAATTCACCGCCTCCAAAACAGTGTTTGTTTATTGGGTTGACCAGTTCATTTACCACATTATATTTAATATAATATGAATCATGAGGATCATGTTTGATGGGGATATCTTCTAGCAGTATATTACAAATATCATATAATACTATATTGTATTGTATATTATATATGTGTATGTATATGTATATTAGTGGCTCTGTTTGATACAAAATTCACCTGGATATGATATAATGATATGATATGGATTGATATGGTCTGATATGGATATTGGCAGTACCCAATACTTATGATCATGAGGATTTTGGGATCCAAGAATCATGTTTGGATTATGGCTCTGCGAACGTATCATTTTTCAACCCTGACCTGGAAATGCTGGGGTTGGAAATGAGCCTTTGGGAACCTTGCGAGGTCATTGAAGAGATATTTGCATTGACTTGGAAGGGATTCGACATGTCAACGGTGGAAGATTAGTTGTTACTCCTCCAGGTGGTTTTGGATGAAGTTTCTTGAGCCAAGACGGAGATGATTCCAAAACGGGTAGGACTGATCAAACTGTATTTCCAAAAATGGAATGTCATTGAGAAAAAATTGGATCAAACAAGTACGGATCATCTTTAGATAGAAAGTTGATCCATCCAAATCACAAGCGATTTGGTGTTTTTTCTTCGCAACGATTCCATTGCGAATCTATTACAAACGCAACTACTGCTACAATAACCTTCCAAAACATTATGTAGACGGGATTTCCTGGAATGATCTAGCTGAGCCACAAAAAATACCCGCATCGCATTCCATTCTAATGGTTGCAAAGTATCCCTATTGTGGGCACCCCCAATATGAACCCATCAACAAAGCTATCTTTAATGACTCAACTGGAAATCACCAACCAGATCAACCCAGTCGCAGCTCAAAGGATCCTGAAATTTGCTTTTGCCAAAGCTCCTTGCGTCAGACCCGTCGACCCGCTTAAAATCTCGCACGTCGTGCCCAGAACTCCAGACCTTCACACCCGGTGAGGAGCGAAGAATCACCACGCGCACACCGGCAGAACAGCAACGGTCTAACAAGCCGCTCAGCTCGTCGCAAACGTGCCTTAAGGTCACTGCAAATCCCAGTTTTGAAGCCAAGGGTATCCACTGAATCCACTGATTTTGCCTTTTTTTTGTCGTTTTCGTAAACCATCGATTTTTTCTAGGGAGTGAATGATTTTGGGCCACTTCCATGTGTTTCTCAAGCACTCTCTGTTATGCCAGCCATTTCATCTCAACGGGTTTGTCTGAAATTGGGGTGAAAAAATCCACTGGTGAATAATCACTTTCACGGGTAAAAGTGCGATAACTGGGGGGTTCACTAACTAGCCATTTTCAGACCCTTTTTGTTGGGAAAAACTTCAACCTTGGCTTCAGAAGCAAAAACGACGAACTCACCATGCCCAGCTTCTGGCTGAGCGCATTCCGTTTGCTCTCGTTGCACATTGTTATGATGCCGATAAAACCTGAAGTGGGGCCACCAACCGACCAACCGACGAACTCGTTTGTTCAACAAATCATTTGTTCGGAATTCTTGGAATAGAAGAAAAAATGTGTATGAACTATATATATATATAATATTACATAGTTTAATACATATTGACATATTGAACCATTGGCCAGTCATCCGTTTCTCAGGTATGGCTGGAAAATAGCGGAAAAAAAAAAAACTAAAAAAAAGACACCAGCCATGGCACCATGGACCTCCATCTCCACCGCTGACTTCCCACAGATGGACCCGGAGTTCTGCCGTTGGATGGGTGGCGCCTCGGGGAAGGCGGCCCCAGGCCGCGGCCGCGCCCGCAGGTGCTCCAGGGCATCCAGCAACACCAGAGTGGCACCAGGTGCACGCTGAACGGCGGCCCAGGCAGTATCCTGGAGGGCACAGAACGATGGGACAAGTTTTCTCCCTATCAACCTTGGTTTTCTCTATGTCTGGGGCTAGTCGTTGAACAATTTGCGAAGGATTTTTGAGTCATATCCTCTGTTGAAAAAAAAGTTTGGGGAAGGGCTAACTTGCAATAGCTCCCCCACAAAATCAAGCCATGGGGAAATTCAAATCAGTGACTCAGCAGATCCAGGCATCGGACAGATTCAAGAGGTCCGTCTCGCAGAAGACTTCTTGTCCTTTTAGCCACTCAACCAGCTCCTCTCAATGAAAGACTCATGATAATCATTATGCTTTGTCATGGATGACCAAGCTCCCTGAAGGGTCAAAGATATACCCTGCGGATTGTTCCCTATCAATATCCAGATATAGATATATATATATATAACCCTTAAGTGGTTGATACAGATTCCAATACCAAATAATTGACTGTGACATATGGTTCATACTGTCTTCGCCTTTCTTTATATAATCCTCTATTGATATTGGTTGCCAAGATGCGCCCCGTTGTGATGTGTAAAAGGCAACACGACACCTAGTTGCCGAGTTCCGGTCGTTGAAACCATTGAAACCCAGTTCCACTTTGGTTTCTCTGAGAATCATTGGACAAAGATGTCCCCCGTGAAAATTGGCCGTGTTTTTTCGCTATCTCCCTCATGTTCGGAGCCATTTGGGATATCTTGCTAGGTACACAGACAAAACGTGATACTATCAACCCTGGATTCATAACCCAAACGGCTGTTGAATTAGGGGAGAAGTACCAATTAAGATTCAATTAAGTACCATATTATCATTGAAGGGATTGACATGATAAGACTGGCTCCTCATCCGAAGCCAGGGCAGGTTTTCCAGTCATTGCGCGTGCTGCTTTGACAACTTCCGCAATGCTGCGTGCCCCCGCGTCATGCGTGGCGTCCCCATCGGCCCAGCGCTGCATGGCAGTGGAAAAGTCGCAACCGGCGATGGGGAAGCGGTGATGAAACGCTGAACATACAACAACCATCCATTGAATCCATTGAATCCATGTGTCTGAAAATGCTTTGAAAAAAAAAACAATCTATGGTGATTTTTTCATGGGGAAAATGATGATGTACCGGTGGATTTTAGGGTATAATATATATATATACATATATATATATGTATATATGTGTATATATATATATATGTATAAGCTCCTAATTTTCAGACAATCCCATTGCTACAAACTCTTCAAACTCCTCTCAGCAGACACGGCGGCACGGCGAGAGCTCGCCTGTGGCAATGCTTCTTGCTTTGGCACCTGAAATCCCAAGGAGCCGGATGAGTATGGCATAGTATGGCTCAGAAAACGGGGAAAAGATGGAAAAATGGTGCCGAAGTGCTGATGGATCACGAAATTTGGTCATTTTGCACCTTCATCCAACGGATTGCTTTAAAGAAATCGTTGCAAAGCGAGTCTCTTTACCTCCGAACATATAAGGGGTTCCTGGAATTCGTCTCCAAGAGCAACTCAGGAAGTTGATGCCACGTGGTTTGGGTCAAATCAGTGGGCCCAAAAATGGGATTGGGATGGTTGATCCTGAAAATGGACCAGGTCAGCTCCGATCCAAAAGACAAATATTCATGAGGCTCCATGGTCCATGGTGGTCTTGGAAAGCTGCAGCGGTTTTGTTCGGCCGCAGTCGAGCCTGGCTTTGCTCGGAGTCATGCTCACTCTGTTCGCTAGGCACTTCATCACCTACCTGTGGATGCTATGGGAGTGGGCCGGGCCAGTTCTGCAAAGTCCAAAAGGGCCAAATTTTGGGGATCAATATCTCAATCCAAGTGTCCGAAGTCGCCAAGCTCTCAAGTTCCCAACCTGCAATGAAAACCATAGGGGATTTTGGGGTGACCAAAAGTGCTCGAAAAACACCAAAAAATCACCAGCGGAGAGGAAACTCATGGGAATTTGTGGTTATCTCCAATGGAGATCTCCCTATTTTTGGACGTCTTGCCTGAATTTTCGAGCCAGCAATGGGGATCATGGGTGTAGCTCAGATTTTGAGCCCGGAAGCAAATCCTGAATTTTCGAACCATGCAAGTGGTCGAAGACTGAGGGTTACTCAAGGCAATTTGGTTTTCTAGATGACCAAAACTGTTTCTTGACCAAAATGGCCCCGGCCCGTGTGCAGCTTTACCCACCACAATATCAAAATGTCTGGAAAGCACAAAACCATGTCCAATGGCCCCGAAAATGGGCGAACAACTAATTCCAGCTTGGAGGTTGATTCTTAGTATTTACCATCTGGTTATTTAACATAGCCATGGAAAATCACCATTTTTAATTGGTAAATCCACTATAAATGGCCATTTTCAATAGCTATGTTAGTCATTACCAGAGGGTAAGTAAGTGCCTAAGTCATGGGGGTACCCATCTATAAATGGGCCATTTTCCATGGCTATGTTAAATAACCAGAGGGTATCTTTATTGGTTTTACCGGGTACAGGTGATGGCTCCAACATGTTCCAGCCGTCCACAAAAGGTGGGTTTCCGCCTTCAACAGCTTCTCTCGCTCCATCCCCCTGGGGCGAGATTGGCTGCAGAAATCTGGGCCTATCTGGGCACATAGCATTCCTAAACTGCAAATAAGAAGTTCCTAGGAAATGAACATCTATAAACATGGTTTCTCAGTGAATTTCAGTCCCTAGATCTACCCAGAATGTCAATGTTTCAGCAAAACATAGAAATACATAGCAATATTTGGGGGTTTCCTGAAGTGGGGTTACCCCAAAATCATCCATTTTAGATTGGCATTTTCCATCATAAACCATCCAGCGATAAAGGGGTACCTCCCATTTGCTGCTGAAATCAGCGGCCACCGAGCTTCCCTGCCCACTCTTCCAGCGCACAAACTCCATCCCGCAGGGCCTCGGAGCTGAGTCAAGGTTTCAAAGGTCTATTTCAAATATAAATATTTATCAATATTTGATATATGATGATACTGTGGATGGAAGAAATCCTGCACCAGTTGCTAGGTGGTAATTTCCAATTATTTAAAGGGTTTCAAACATCCTTTTGGTGGTGCAGGATTTCTTCCACCCACAGTATGTTAATGTATGTTAATATATGTTAATTCATGTCACTGTATGTTAATGTATGTTGATGTATGCTAAGGTACGTTAAGCTATGTTAATATGCCAAATTATGGTAATCATTGATAATACATGTTGATATAAGTTAGTATGTGTCAGAATATGTCAATATATAGGGGTGTGTGGGTGTGTATATGTATGTATGTATGTATGTATGTATGTATGTATGTATGTATGTATGTATGTATGTATGTATGTATGTATGTATGTATGTATGTATGTATGTATGTATGTATGTATGTATGTATGTATGTATGTGTGTATGTCTGTATGTATGTATGTATGTATGTATGTATGTATGTATGTATGTATGTATGTGTATGTATATGTATATGTATGTGTATGTATATGTATGTGTATGTGTATGTGTATGTTATGTGTATGTGTATGTTATGTGTATGTGTATGTGTATGTATATGCATATGCATATGCATATGCATATGTATATGTATGTATGTATGTATGTATGCATGCATGCATGCATGCATGGATGCATGCATGTATGTTTGTATGTATGTAATGTGATGTAATCTAATGTAATGTATGTATGTTTGTTTGTATGTATGTATGTATGTAATGTTATGTTATGTTTTGTTATGTCGTCATGTTATGTTGTGTTGTGTTGTGTTGTGTTATGTGATGTTATGTATGTATGTATGTATGTGTATCTATATGTAAATGTAAATGTATATGTATATGTATATGTATATGTGTATATATATGTATATGTATACGTATATGTATATGTATATATATATATCTATGTATGTACATGTCTGTAAATATGAATATATGTATGTATATATATATATGTAAATGTATGTATATGTATGTGTATGTGTATGTGTATGTGTATGTGTATGTGTATGCATGCATGCATGTGTATATATATATATGTATATATATATATATGTATATATATATATGTATATATATGTATGTATGTATATATATATACGTATATATATATATATATATGTATGTATATATATATGTGTGTATATACATATATATATGCATATATATACATATTTGTAAATATCTATGTATATATATATGTATATGTACATATTTATGCATGTATATGTGCATATATGTATAGATGTATACATGTATATATGTATATACTTATATGTATATATGTTTATATATATATAAATGTATATGTGTGTATATGTAGATATGTATGCATTTATTTATGTAATTCTGTATATATGTATATATGTATTTGTGTATATATGTATATATGTATATTTGTATAATTGCTTTTATGTATATATAGGCTCGTCCCACCTCCTGGAACTACATACGATGGGGGTGGGGGGTGGGGTGGGATGTTAACGTTCATGTGAACTTGCAGAAGCAGTTGATGCTACGCACACGCGGGGTGGGGTGGGGGGGGATGGGGTGGGATGTTGACGTTCATGTGAACTTGCAGAAGCAGTTGATGCTACGCACACGCGGGGTGGGGAGGGGAGGGGATGGGGTGGTATATTAACGTTCATGTGAACTTGCAGATGATGATGATGATGATGATGATGATGATGATCATGATGATATAGTGATGATGATGATGATGATGATGACCCTAATGAAACTTGTCAATTCCGGGACGAAATTTCGTCTCGGAATTGACAAGTTTTACCAACCTAATTCGTGGTGTGCGCAGTTCCAGAAGCGCGGACGAGGCTATATATACATATATACATATATGCATAGATGTATATATGTATATATGTATGCATGTATGCATGCATGCGTGTATGTATGTATATAATCAAATGCTGATATATGCTAATATATGTTAATATATGTTAGTCCATGCTAGGATATGTAAATATGTCTTAACATACGTATGTTAATATTGGATACGACTTGGCAGCAAAAACTTCAAAGCATTAATTTGAAATAGGAATCGTTCCATGGTTACTTGTATTAGATATCCATATTACCATCTATTAAATAACTATCAAACCCAACATTAATCGTAACATTTCCTAATCTTAACAAATGATGGGATGAACAACAATCCCAACAATAACGATCAATCGATCATTATTGAGTTTGTCATCATCATCTGGTCATTTGGCCATTGAGCATAACAATGACCATCTTTCATCCCTGGTAACTCATCCAGCACCCGACCACAACACCCCCAATCCCACTGCAAATGATATTTACCTCACATAATTCAAATATAAAGACATAATTCAACTGCCCAAAGAATGGAAATCATATCTCTCTTAAGGTTGAAAACGAGAGAGACTGTAACTCCAAGCTGATGCTTAAATCCCCATTTCATCAACCAACAGTGAAATCCTGAGGAACATTACCATTCGAAAAACATTTCTCCAACAATGTCCTTTTGGGAAAAATTAAGGGCCCCCTTCTTGGTATACCATTGTAATCATGTAGCGATTGGTTAGTTTGTAGGGGTGACCCTCTACTAAATCAAACAACAGGAAAAGTGGTTTAATGGTTAGTTGCTTTAATGAATAAAATTATATAGCTGGAATCAAGTAGAATTCATTAGAACCTATTAAATCATTTCGTTCTCTTGTCCCATCTCATTATACTAGCTGGTTAATAGGTTTCCTACTACGGAACTATCATCCTCCCCAATAAATTTCGTAGTACAAGTCCCAAAAGATTAAACCATCAACCTCCACCAATGAATTATATAATATGAATTAATGCATTCTAATGGGTTCTAATGGATTCCAATTGATTCTAATGGATTCCATGAATGGATTCTACGTTTAAATCATGCCTTTCTCTTCCCTCATGCGTAGATCTCGCCTCTCGGGTCTGCTGCAGCGCTCCGCT